TCCTGCTGTATGACCTCCTGCAGGTCTGGCATACGTCCAGGAGTTTCCAGAGGATCTCCATGTTTCCCTCATGCTACTGAAGGAATGCACTGGCCGTTTCTCCTTCTGAAGGAGTGTATGTGTGGTATGTGTATACAGTTATTTCTGAAGAAGAAAGTAAGTTGGCACAGATACGTGGTCAATGCAAAGAGGATTTGCTTTACCTGAACAAGCTTCATCCAGAAGCTGCCTCCTCTGGTGCTGCAGTGTTGTGCGTTGCCAAAGGGAAGGCCGGACCAGAGGCCAAGGTCAGATTCCCAGAGGTCTGTGACGGGTCTCCTTGGTGCGACTACGCTCCGGTGTGCTATTTCATCCTGAGTTTGTCTGTTTGGTGCAGGTAGGTGGGTCATTTTTGGGCTAGGGACTGCTGTTTTTGTCCCTTGGCTGCAGGGCTTCAGGGGTAAAAGAAACCAGCATTTCTTCTGAGTGTTTTCTTTTTTGAAGGAGAAAGTGACTTAGAAAAATGAAAGAGGAAGTTTTCTTTCTGTACATCTTTAGGAGATGTGTGATTTTTGTGGGTTTGGGTTTTTTTTCTCTGGTGTTTTTTCTTTTTTTCCATTTTTAAATCTGCTTTTCTTTGAGGAGCAGACTGTCACATTTTGTCTCTCCTGGAAAAAAAAGTTGGGAGAATAGAAAGAATGCACTAGACACTGAAGAATCTATGTTAGGTGTGCTTTTTTTTTTTGGTAGTTACTGCCAGTTTTGATCCTGTGGTTGCTGTGTGCACCAGTGCCTGCTCCAGGCACAGCTTTTTTTACCAATATTTTCTGCTTGTAGGACAGACCTTCCTTCCATATGGGTGTGAGCCTAGCTAGGAGGAGCTGTAGGTTTCTAAGTCTATGCCATAGATTTGGCTCCGTGAGCTGTCCTTTCCAACAGGGCTGCTTAAAATTCAGATTCACAGGGTAGAAAGCACAAACTGCAAGTCAAGAAATAGAGAGTGCTTTAAAATATGTTTTACTCAAAAGTTTCTCAGAAGCTTTTCTTAAATAGAAAGTGAACAGAAAGCCTGTAGTTTAAAGTTACTTTGCCTCTGGCTCAGACTGTGGGCCTTAAATTTTATTTTGGTAAAAATAAGAATATATAACCTTTCAACTTCATAAAATGAAGATTGCCAGGAGAGGTTGTACACATATAAATGTTGTACGTTTGTCTTTATTCAATTTTCTTTAGTATTAAATTTTGCATTTAATTTGTTCCAATTTCTAGATTGATGCCTGCATTCAGTAGGAAAATCCTAGATGCTCATTGCAAATGAGCCTGTCCGCTCCTTATTGCATATGAGATGTTATTTGTTGTAAATTAGCACCTTTGGTCAGTCAGACATCACGCCCCTCTTTTCTCTGGGGCCCTTTTTTGATCTCAGCAGAAGGCTAATGGATGTCCAGAGCAAAGGACTTGGACTCCTGGGCTTGGCTCATCCCAAGAGCGGATCAGCAGTAGTGCATCTCCCGGAGCCGTAGCTGAGCCTGTTTCCTGAAGTACTGAGTGTGCGGAGGGGAGTGACTAAAAGTTGTCTTTGCCCTTGGGATAGAAAAACTGACCACTGAAACCAGTGGCCGCAAGCAGAGCTGTGCTTGCTGGACTGGTGCGTGGTTACATAAGCACTGGTGCTTTCTCAGCAGCAGGATTTATTTATAAAAAGTCTGCTGAATAGCTGGCTCTCAACTGGATGTACTATTTTCTTCATAATTGATAGTTTCTAATATGAACTTTTTTTTTATTACTTTTTTTTGTTTTGTTTTGTTTTAATAGGGGATGGGGTGGGGGAGGCTAAGGAAGGAGTCTCGAGTTGCAATTTGTTTAGCCCAGTCAGCCACCCAGACTGGTAGTTAGCTATTTTGGGAAGCTAAGGCATAACAGTGTGGGCCTTCTCTCAATAGCTGTAAGCGCAGGAATGGACACTGGAGCGTATCAGAAGATTCGTGCAGTTCTGGGTTTGAGCAAACAGTCGAGTTGTGCTGCAGAAGAAAGCGAGTAGCTGCCCTGAGTGATCAAAGGTTCTCCCTGCAGAGGAAGCGAAACCTTAGCGTGCCTTTCAGATGTGTTTGCCTTTGTGATCATCGATAGCTGGTTTGTCCCACTGGGCCGTAAGGGACTCTTGATCTCCAAGAGTAAAATTCCAGGATGCGATGTGGTGTTGCTGGAGAGCCAGAAGAGTCTGTGCAGCCAAGCCGTGGCCGAATACTTAAAATGTCAAATACCTTTGGCATTCTCAAAGGCCTAAACAGTTTGAATACCAGTACTTTAGATTTTGTTTACCAAGGAATCTGATAGTGAAGCTCTTCAACCCTTCCTTAGGTTATGTTCCCAAGCGTATAAAATAAGTAGCTTTATGCTCTTAGATGCTCTGGTTTTCTTGTTTGTGGATTGTGGAAATACGCAGAGTTGGATAAGTATTAAAATAACAACTGTTCATTCTCCTGGCTCAGAAATGTTTTCTCTCCTCTGTCTTAACCTTCAGCAAACAAACAGGCATGAGTAGTTTTATGGCGAAGATCTTAGGTATGTCTTCAATTGCTCCTTTTTCCTGTTTTTTCTCTTTCTCAGCTGAATTGTGCACTCTGGAGGTTTCTTCAGCAGACCAAGGGCTCTGCACCATCAAAGCATCACAGCGCTCTGCTCGCAAAGTGCTCGCTGTGGCCACTGGCTTGACCCTGGGAGGTTTATGCAAGCAGGGACTTGCTCCATGGGCCAAGAGTGCATCTTCCATACATCTGACAAGTCTGTCAAAATCCTGTGGGTTGATAGTGTGAGCTTAAAGAATTTTGGGATCCTCTGTGTCAGCAGAATATTTCTGTCACTAGAAGTTTTGATGGCACTCTGAAAATGATCTTTCAGCTAGGCTTCTGCTTAGGAGTAAACGGTTAGAGCTGAAGGCTGAGCTGGCTACAACAAACACGCAGGGATGCGTTGCGTCAGAAATCACCTGAGGAGCAGTTAGAATGGCAACAGTGGACATGGCTCGTGGGCTCCTACTCTTGAATGTAGGCTTTGATCAGTGAAACACATCAGTTTCCTCTGTTACAAAGGACCACTTTGAAATTTAAAGCGGTCTGGTTGGAGTCATAGAAATTTCTCGTAAGCTGTCAGCAATCTGCCACACGTTATTTCTGCTCTGAGAGGCTCCTAGGATCTGTCCAGCACTGCTCATGTCTCCGGCGTACACATTCAAGAATCATAAGGCAAAACCCCCAGACATTTTGAACTCAAGGCATGTAATCATGGGCTTAAAAATCATGAGTGTTTTTTAAAATATAAGGTTCTTTTTAGTGGCCTTTTAGATTTTATGATTCACTTCTTTCAAACTTTGTCGCTGGCATGGTTTTCACGTAACATCTGACTGAGGAGCTCTCAGAAGAAGACAGCTATAGCACAAATGAGATGCTTGATAAATGCGTTGGGACTAGTGCTCTATGTCCCTCCACTCACTGAAACAGAACAAGGGAGATTAAAAAGGGAATCATTATTGTGTCCTTTCCTAGAATTCTGAGGTTCAGATAGGATAAAAGTAAGAATTGTTCTGGAGCCAAAACATGTTTTTTTCCCAACTGCTGCACAAAGGGAAGATTAAAAATGTGTTACTCTCTGTGACCTATGTAATGTGTTGTTTTCTTAGTGCTGCTTCAACAGACCTTTAAAAATATGCAGACTGCAGCTGGTGGACTACCTTAGGCTGAGGCTGCTCCTCTTTGTGCAGCTATTTGTGCAACACTGCGGAGGAGTGGGAGAGTCACCACTTATTGAATGCTGGTTAAGAGGGGGAGTGATACATTGACAGATTCCAGTTCTGGAGTATTCAGGGTTGCCTTTTAAAAGCATTTTTAATGGGAGGTAATGCTCGCTGTAAACCTGGGAGAGTTTTCGTCCCCGTTATTGTTGCATTGTGCTTGGGCTGCCAAGTCAACCTTGTTTGGAGAATGCTAACTGGCACGGAGAAAATCTGGCTTTCTAAAACCTTCAACACGTTTACGTTGAGGATGATTTGGGGGAATAGCGTGACTCCCCTGAATCAGTAAGAGGCCTCTGGGTGCATTCTGTAGGAGCAGATGTGTCCTGGCAGTACTGTGCACTTTCTTCCAAAGGCAATCCTTTAGCCACAGTAACAGGATTTGTAGTCCTCCGAACTTTTATTGTTGAAGACCCACATGATGCTTCTCCACAGGGGCTGGTCAGTGCACCATGGAGAATGCCTAACACGCGCAGGGCTCTCGTGGACCTTCTGGCTGTGGTAATGAGGCAAGTTCAGCTTAAATTTCTGCTGAGGGCTGACATAAAAGTTACGTGCAGGGAGAGAAGGGTTCTAATTTTGAGTTTCCCTTCACAATTCACCTTGGAAGGAGCAGTGGGGTGAGGCAGGGTGGAGAAAGCTTCTTGCATACTGAATGTTCTTGCAGACTGTCTGCTCCACTGTTTTTTCAATGTGATGAGCAGAATGAAAATGTCATATATAATCTGTTCTGTCTGTGTGCATTGGTACCTGGGAGATATATGACTGAGGCAAATGTAAAGAGCAGGATGTTTATTATCTTATTAATGCATGGGCATTGTTCC